AACACACCAAACTGTAGCCTTTCAGCTACTACCGCACCAAACTGTAGCCTTTCAGCTCCTACTGCACCAAACTGTAGCCCTTCAGCTACTAACACACCAAACTGTATCCTTTCAGCTACTAACACACCAAACTGTAGCCTTTCAGCTACTAACACACCAAACTGTATCCTTTCAGCTCCTACTGCACCAAACTGTAGTAAAGTATCTCTTTTTGTGTTTGTACGATCAGGTAGTTGTGGTGAACATTTTGAATTGTTTACCTTCAAAGGTTGTAGATGTGCATCCAATGATTATTTCCTGGTTTTTTAAATAAAATCGGAGTCGTGGTTCATGAGTTATTTTGCTAACAGACACACAAACACAAACATTACATCCAGCACACAAGAACACGACACAGAGAAGTGGCAACAAATTAAAGAAAACATTTTATTTTACATAAACTGTACAGATTTTATTTGACTATATGATTTATAATAACTAAAAATAACTTTCTCCTTAAATAAAACAAAAAAAGAACAAAAATAAGCTTAAGGTGAAAAAAGAAGTGTTGCTTGTTGTACAAAACGGAATGAAAACAGGTGAGAAATGAAAAGTCATGCAGTTTATTGTACCCTGATAGATCGCTCAGCCTTTTACAAACCATCACATACAGATTTATTTGTATATTTTTTACATGATAACTTTAATGGCCTCGCCATCTCATGTGTACAGCTAAAATCCTGGCCTCTTTGGTTCCATTGATTATGCAAAATACATCTGAAACATAATTTGATTCATCTATATAAAAATAACTTTTCAATGGCAGTTTTTGTTCCGCTAATCCCACAGCTTTTCAGTGCAAACATCACAACGACCCATCGCTTTGGAAAGGAAGCGAGAGATCACATTTCAAGTATTTTCTTTTTTAAACAGTTGAGGACTGAAGAGATGAAAAAGGATGGAGAGGATTCAGTCAAATGGAGCGCGTCATGTTCGGGTACAGTTTTCTATACATTGCATAGCTCATGTGGCACTTTTTAACAATCTGACAGGACACTCAGGAGCCCTCGGAAGGCATTTCTTTTATTTATACAAGTGCTATTCAGGGTGTGCATTTCAGTTTCTGCAAGTGCTGCACTGCACCGTGGAGACCCGCCCGGGCCCCAAACTCCAGTCTGGACGGCCCGGCGTTGACAGCAGCAGCTCGAAGGACCACTTTGTTTTGCCACCGTGCTGCTGAGGAGGATTTAATCCGTCAACTTGGATTATAAAACCAGACCCAACGTCCCCCAACTTCACTCTTTGTTGGGAAAAGAAGCAGGTTTACGGGGGTCTGCATGTTGTGTTTTTAGCTTCAAAGCATGCACATAAGGTAGTGGGGCTTTAAGCTCCGCCTACTCCCCACCATGCAGTCATGGTGTCACATGATTTTCCTCTAAAGCATGAAATAAACTAATGACAGATAAACATGATTAATATTTGAACAAACAGCAGCATGAGAAGAGCTAAGTTAAACAGGTTAGTTTGTATAAATAAATAAAATTATCCTCTGGCTCCGCTGAAAAACTCATTTTTATAAGCTGACATAAATGTTGAACTGGGACCATCAAAATTTAATATAACAAGTTTCACAAACGTTACTTTAAAATATAATTAGTTACATTTAGGATTACTCAGCTCCAGGTTATAAACAAGACAACAATGTTGGGAACAAGATGAAAAAAATGGTTAAATAAATAATACTCAACAATTAGCCTAATTGTTTCAGATAAAATGTAAAACAAAATGCAACCATGGATATTTTAAGAGGTTACTGTAATTTTAATTATGATTTCTTGTCTAACTGATGAATTGGTTATTTACTAAATAAATGTAACAACCCTGATTATAACTAGAAACAGGACATAAAACTGGAAGCTGAAGCCACAAAGAATGAGTGGCTGGTTCCTATACAATTATTAAGCCCCGCCCCTCCACGTCAACCAATACGACGTGGTCTTTTAAAATAATATTTTTCAGCTGATTTTTGATTGCTGCCGCTTGTTCAAATGTGCATTTTTAAAAATCGTTTTAGTTTTAATTAGTTATTTGTGTCATGTTACACTGTGACTGACAGCCTGTTAATAAGTTAGGAGGCGGGACTACAGTGGTGCAGACTCTGGTTCCAAAAACACAACATTCTGCCCCCCCACCCCCGCCCCCCCAACATATCTGACTTCAGTTCTGAACAAGAGAAGGCCGAGAGGCTTCGGCCATCTTTGTTCGAGTCTCGATGGGGGGCGCTGCACCAGCTCCGGCTTCCTGTTTGGAGTCCAGTACTTCCTTTCAGGTCGATAGTCCTGTGAGACCAGTCTGAGTCCAGGACAGTCGGAATGCTTCAGTCTGCATAGAGGGAAAGTGCTGGTGTTCTGACTCGTAGAAGCTGATGACTTGTCAGTGCTTTAGAAAAACAAACGTCTCTTATGTGCTTTAAGTACTTCAGAGGGTTAGAGGAAGGTGTTTCCGATGCCAATCCTGTTATTGGCTCATATCGTCTCTGTCCTTAAGCGCTTTTTAATAAAAAATCTTCATTTCTCAGGAGATAACGGGCCATTATTTTTGACTAGAAATGGCAAACTAGAGTGAAAGTATCATTTGGTGATGGTCGTTCCCTTCTCATCCCGTCACTGACCGGCTGATCGCTCGGTCCGATAAATACACACACTCGCACCGGCACACAAGTACACGTGTTCACGGTTCTGGACCAGTGCGGTGTGAGGTACACGTGCAGATATATGCTGATGACGCGTACCTTTTGAAAAGAGTCTGGTGTGTTTGTGTCCGGGGGGCTCAGGCGCAGCCGCACTCCTCCACGATCATGTTGGGCACGTCCCTCTTGACGATGTTGTACTCGTCGTCGAAGTAGAGCATGGACATGGTGCTGAGCTTGGTTGGGATGCAGCAGGAGTTGACGGAGCCCGGGCTCATCCCCCTCATGCGGTACTGATTGACCACCGCAGTGTGGAAGGATGACGCCGAGCCCGGGACGCCCGCCATGTAGGCGGGGCAGCTGCCCTCGCAGTAGTTGCCATAGTACCCGGCCGGCGCGATGATCCAGTCGTTCCAGCTGATCAGGCGGAAGTCTATGTAGAACTGCTGCCGGCAACACAAGCCCCCGCTGGTGCCGTCGCACTCCAGACCCCGCTTACGGATACGGTGCTTCCCGTCCACCTGCCGCGCACGCACCACCAGGAAGGGCCGGTGGGACGGGTCGCCCGGGTCCACCAGGACCGGAGCCACGCCGGCCGTCTCGCAGCCCTCGCAGTGGACCTCCAGGTCCTGCCGCCGGCTGCCCTTCCCGAACACGGCACGCACCGCCTCCGAGAGCGGGAAGGTGTGCCAGCCGCTGCGCTTCAGATCCACCCGCTTCTCCACCAGCACCCAGTGTCCAGTCCCGCTGCCGCCGCCCGGACCGCCCTCGGCGCCACTCACGGCGCTGGCCTCGCGGTAGTGGATCTTGACCGTGATCTTCCTCCTGAGACCCTTCTCTGGACCGGCAGGTTGCAGACGGAAGTAGAGCCAGAGGTTGGCCTGGGACACAAACAGGTTCTGATGGCCCTCGTTGGAGATGAGGAAGTACAGACCGGATTTAGGGTTTGTGTGTTCGTCTGGAGGAAACAAGAAACAGAGAGAAACTGTTGTTAATTTAAAGAAGGGAAAAAGACTGTGAGGATAGAAGTAAGAAATGTAAAATATCATGAGTCAGTTGATTATCTTTAACTGAATAACTCAACGGAATTCAAGATGGCCGCCACAGCTAGTGGCGCAAATATGATCTTGGGTAGAGAGTTATGTCGGCCTGAAGTCATGACATGTTGAAGGTAGTGGTCTGTGATCTGTGTCCTCTAAAGAAGACCCTCTGTGGGCTCTTTGAAGACGGTATCTGTCCGAGGTCAGACCGTTGGAGCTGCGGCATCAAACCAGCGCACTCTGAGCTAACACTGACACAGAAAACAGAAAGTCCTGAGAAGGACACGGCTTTGTCCTGGAAACTTAGTTTTCTCTGTTTGCTCCCGGTCACTGCGTCAGGTGACCTCTGCGGTGGTTTCTGATAGGCCAGCTGTGACCAGTTCTGGGATCGGGCCCAGTTGGCTTCAGGTCCAGTGTTGGAAGTGACAGGACCAGAAAAGAGATGGAGGGGAACAGCGGGGGGTGGACGGTGGGCCAGGGCCGGCGGGGGGTTCATTGGGTTCAGTGTTAGCGGCCAACCCGAACACCTACCGGCCTCTGCGTGGGGTGCAGCGGGAGCACCCTGAGAGTGACAGCACAAAGCCCCCCCGGGAGGCGCCGGGGGACCGCCGCGCCGCAGCACGCCATTCAAACACGTGGCTTTCCAGCAGAAAGGCAAAAATAAGAGGCATTTACATGATACTGGCCACTTTCTGCAGCCGCACAATGAAGAGATCCTGCCTGTCTAAAGGTGGCGCTGGGCTGCCCCCGCCCCCGACACTGTTTTCTTTTTCTTTTTTTTCTTCAGCTAATGATGGCTCCCAAATTACCCAGAGGTAACATGAAAACGGTTTCTATTTCAGGAGGTTTGTTACAATGTGCTCAAGCAGCTCCTTTGAAAGAGCTGAAATGACTTTGTTTGCTGACTGATTAGTGTGTGTCAGTGTCAACAGGTGGCCACCAAAGATGCCCTCCCCCCTTTATGGTACCTCTTCCTCCTGTAAACGGCAGCTTTACATTCACACAGAGACCTGTTCAGACCAGCTCGGACCTCAAACACAAGCGCCTGCGAGGACCGCGCAGAGACGCTGAGTTGAAGCCGGAGTAAATGAATCAGTTGAACGGCCGTGTTCACCTGTAAACACTAAACGCTGTAAACGCTGTAAACGCCCCTCAGGGCTACAAGTAACTAACCTCAGCTCTTTCAGCGCTGCAGCTTCCTGCGTGCCTCGACAGCTCCGAGCCGAGGGGAACGGGCATCGGCCGGGACGAGTTGAGGTTTGGCTGTTCTATCTCACCCGAACATCACAAGGAACTCTAGAACTCCTCGAATCATGTCACGTTTTTACAGCRAGGTCATCTTCACCCTGTCACCTTTCAGGCTGCATGTCGGAGATCACTCTCAGCTACTACCACCCTAAACATGAGGTCCATATTTTTAGTGTTTTATGAGTTCACTTGGCTTCATMACTTGTAGACGTTCATCCAGCGACACGTCCTGAATGTTTCATCAAGTGATCCCTGAAATATTTAGCTAACAGACCGGTGCATGTGCACAGACTTGTATCAGAATCTTGACTTGGTCTGGTATTTTTAAACACCTGTCTCTAATCTTCTGAAAGTTTTCGTCACCGGACTCTTTTTTTTAAACGTTCATGCTTAGTGACATGTTTTCATCTGAGCTTCTTTAAAGGAATGGATTCTCAAAGAGTCTAGAGCTGGCCTGGACACGCCTCGCCTGACACCCCCTCCCCCCAGCAGAGACGTTGCTGGTGATTAGGACACCTGGGTGGGCTCGGGTGGATGAAGAGCGTGTCTCCACCTGCGCCTTCGAGTCAGAGAGACGGGCCGGAGGAGCAGGCGAGGCCGGGGGAAAGGCTCCGGAGCTCGTTAGTCAAAACTGCTGTTGACACCTCTGCACCATACCGGGGG